CAAAACCTTGCCACACCAATCCAATACAGATGTCAAGGGCAAATATCTTGGAATTTAAGCTTGTTTAAATGCTTGGGATTTGGGGATTTTCACTTTACAGATATTGTAAGTCTTGTTTCATTATTTACTTCCTGTTTTAACTTTTTAATCTGAGAATCTAATACCATTCTCTAGTTCATCTCTTCTTGCAGAAAACAATGACGACTTCTGTAGTTTGTTACATGAACTTGTTTCAGTTCAAAGACATTTGTACCTGGGCTGTGTAAATGCTTTGTGTGCAGTCCTCTGGCCCTCAGGAATGTCATCAATAGTGTATTTTTTAAAAAAATCAGTTTTCATTCTATTTTTAACAATGTGTTTTAGATCTATTTTGGTGCCTGGGACAGAGGAGCACCTGAATTGGGGTTTATTGATGTAAGGCAAGCTCGTGTGCCCAGCCTTCTGAAGGTCTAGTTTTATTGTGCAGGGTTCTGCATTTCTGGAAGAGTCTGCTACTGTAATTGAATCCCATGTTCTCTTAGTTTTCAAGGTTTATTATTGCTTTCTACCAAGGTCAGAAAATAGTTGTTTAACAGTACATTTGAGCCCTACTGGGTGAAGATAATCTGATTAATCCCTGCAGGATGAATAACTCTATTTCAGTTTGAGGTTAAAGTGGCAGTTTTGCAGTTTTCAGAGATGATGTGTTTACATGTTTATTGGTTAATGTGGGGCTTTTGTTCTTGTTTTGGTTTTAGGACTGCACTGTGGCTGACATGGAAGATAAAGTTCAGACTGTAGTAAGTACATGTTTCTGTTGAAACTCAGCTGCCTACATTCACAGTTATTTTGGTGGCTTCTACGCTGACTGTACTGACAACAGCTTTCCAATCCCACACATACAAGGATATCATGCAAGAAAACATTGTTATGGGCTATTTTGTGATAATTCTTTACTGTAGAGGAAATTAATGAAATTTGGACAGACAGGTAGCGCATGTAATAGCACGGTGTCAAGTATTCCTTAAAGTTTCATTGCGTAGCTATTTTTTTTCAAGAGAATTTTGACCTCAGATTTTCAAGGGAAGGGTAGTACTGTAGAACGATTGTAGGCTAAATAAATGAGTTATGCCTGTAATGTGCATTTAGTGCCTTAATAAGCAGACATTATGCTTTATTAAGCTTCTTCACATAAAAGAACTGCCATGCCACAGAACTGAAGTTCTATCTCTGATTGTACTTGAGCTTGAGTTTTCAGGGTTGTTTGAAGCAGCCTTGTGACAAAATGAGGAGCGTAATGGAATGCTTTTTATATTTTGTAACAATTAATCATAGCTTCCTGCTTTTGACATGAACCAGGCTGTGCTCTTTGATAAGGCCTTCCGCTAGCTCATAGATGCCTAAGAATTTAGTAGCACAATAACTAAAAATAGTTTTGTCCATAAATAATGAGACCACGTAAAAGGGAGTTTTTTGCATCTTTGTTTTTCCATTTGTGCACACCCGCTCTGAAAGTAGGTATTGTTGTTTGGAGTTCCCTTGTTTGAGCAGTTCCTTGCATTCACACTTAAGCATTGTTTTGATTTATTTTATTGCTGCAGTTATAAATCTGATGTAAAACAAAAGAAAAAACGTTGAAACGATTGTTTCGAGGGACCATTGTAATCCAGACCAATGTCTTCCTACGAGACGACCCCCCCCGTCCTATAATTACATGTGTCTACTTTGACTGAAGGATTCAAACCCCTCGTGAAAGATGGCTTACCTTACTGGTTCCCACATTGTGTATAACTAACTACTGTACTGTGTACTAATCCTCTCTCCCTAATCCTTGAAGTTTTTGTAACCTACTTTGAGTTTCAGCATTGCTTCAGTTAACATCAAGACCCAAAATGCACTGAGGGGCATTAATGAAATTTGTGAGTGTAGGGAGGGCACAGATTTTTTCGGACTATGATTTTATTTTTTTTTCTGATTAATTAGCCATTCTTCTAGTTAAAAGTTCTACGAGACAAAGCTGTTCTGCCTCTGACTTTACTGACACACATGCAAGGTCAGAATTCGCCTTTAGTTATAATGTTGGCTTAGGATCAGTTATGTTTTGGTCAAAAGGAAATATGAACCTTGCCTTCATAAGCATTCCAGAAACGGTCAATTCAGAGGCATGGTGGAGAGAAGTAATGCTGAAATGCTTAAGTGCTAGATGTCCTACCTTATACTGTAAAGCTTTGTGCAGATAAGTCAGTGGCCAGCACCTCACTTTTTCTGACACATGGCCAATTTTATTCTCATAGCAGAAATAAAGAATAGCATTAAAAACTGTCAATTGTTCCCGCAAGGAATCATCAAAATGGTTCAATATTTTAATGGGTTATATTTTGGTTAAAGCAAACAACCCCCAAACACAATTTTTTGCTATATTTTGCGTGTTTCTTTTTTTAAGCAGAGGATGTCTTGGCATCTGTTAGCAATGATGAGGTGGCACTAATGGAAATAGTTTATTTGTACTAGGTTACAGTAAGAAGATAAAGGTGCTGCAAAATAGATCTATACAAATGAATCTTCTATTTCGATGATTCTTAACTATGCTTTATTAGTGGACCAAGCTTTAGAACTCATTTCCTTTCCGGTTTTGAAAACTGAAAGAGGAAGAAGCCAGGGGAGAAGTTTTGTAACTGTTTTTTGTACATTCTCATTGTAGGCCAAGACTTTAAATAGCATTTGTGATAAAGCCATCCGATCAACTACAGATCCATTGATGAGCCAGTGTGCATGTCTGGAGGAGGTTCATTTAACCAACATTAAACCTGGGGAAGGCCTGGTAAGAACCAACTCTGGAGTGTCCTGATGTCCCCAGTGTTTAATAAGGAGTCTTGTGAGCCACTGCATGTGTGTGTATAGCAAGATGTTTCAAAACCAGTAATATCCTACAGGGAACAGAAAGAAGCATGGGGAGGAACTCTGAAGGTTAATTGGCAGGCAGTGTGCTGGAGTGGCTGCTAGAGATAGGCATGCATGTTAATAGGTTTGATCCCAAATGGAATTTTTGATGGTAAATTGTTTGCAGATTTGTGTCTTAACCAGGATATTGGGGAATTTACAAATGCTTGTGAAATCAGTCATTTTATTTTTGCAGGTTACCTTAACCAGCTGTTTTTTCTAATGGGGGCTAGGGGAGGGAGAAGTTGATGAGAAAATGATGTTTGTATTTTGAAAGATGCATTTTTATGTGCATCTATAGCAAGATTGAGAAGAATATGAGGATTTTTGAGGTTTGTTGTTAGCAAGAATATGAAAAATCCTTTTAAATGTTCAGTGGCCTTGTAATGTTACCGAATGTAGTTTGGTCAGTAGGTGCTGCTTAGCTGAGTGCTGGTTATGAGAAACTGAGTTTGAAATCTTGGTGGATTTTCTGACTGGCGAACAGACGTGTTAGAATGAGTTGGAGGGAATATAAATTCTTAAGAGCATTTGTATTCTCCCCAGCCCCGAAGGCAGAAGAGATGAGCACTTTTCAAGGAAGCTTTACAGTCTTACTGTGCTATATAGTTTTACTTAGGCCACTGGATTTGACTGAATCAGTCATGCGTTCTTGAAATTATGGGGATCTCTTTGTTAATGCACAAGCTACAACAAAGCAAAGTCAGCCCAGCTTGGACTAAGAAACGAGGAAGTAGGTGCACACAATTAGATACTGACAGGCAAACAGGGAAGGGAATTGGCTGGAGAGGAAGGGGCAAAAGAATCTGTTATTTTCCCTTGTACTTCTAAGCAAATGTGGTAACTTCAGGCAGACAAGCTGCCTACAACTCCTGAGTAACATCCAGTTCTATACAGCTCTGTGTGAATGCTTCTGACAACAGACGTAGGTAGGAAAAGTAGAGATGTGTTTGTTCATAAATAATGAAACCAATGTACTGGTCACCTCTTGTAGGTAAGTCTATGCAATTATTAGTTAATAGCCTGTTGGTGATTTTTAATTTGGTGTTCATATGGTCAACGCCCACTGCATCTGAGTTTGTCCTTGCATTCACAGTCAGCATTAACATATAGAGCCACAAATACTTAGTTCTGCCAGAGTGTTTGTTGCTTATGTTCAGCTCTGTGGTTACAAGGCAATCTGTATATTGACTTGCCAGGAGAAATTGTAAAAGAACATGTAGGCAATATTTGTAGCCCACCTGTGTAAGTGTGCTTTGTATGGAGAGAGCTGGTGGCATCTAGTAAAACCTGTAATTCTCTAGTGCAGACCAGGCAGTAAGGAAATAGTTTTCTTCAAAGCCAAAGAGCAACAAGGCAGCAAAACCAGCAGCGTTTGCTATTACCAAAGTGTTTCTAAATTGCCTTCCATGTATTAGGTGGTTTAAGTCATTATAAATATTATAATTAATTACAGTAAAAGCGATCTGTGAAGAGGTTTAGAATGTTGTAATATTAGACCACACACTTTTCTAGGGAAAATACGTGAATTGTTAAGTGTTTTTAATGATGTTTTGAGTTTGTTGCCAACAGTTGTTTAATCAGATAAGTCATGTGGTTTTTTTGCCTTTAAACTTGTTTTTCATTTTCCACTTACATTTAGGGAATGTACATCAAATCAACTTATGATGGATTACATGTAATTACTGGAACTACAGAAAACGTAAGTGAAGTAAATGTAGATTAACTCAGGCTATCTGACAGTAGCTTTGATTGAGTTAGTTTGACTTGTTTACTACTTTTTCCTGTTTTACATATGACTTTCATGATATTACTGCTTTAAATACTGTGTGATGCATCATTTGTTTATCCACAATTTGTAAATATTTTGAGTCTGCATGTGTCACTGTTAGTCTAAACCAGTTTCTGCAAGTACCTGAGTTAGTTCAAATGCTTGGCATTGAAATAATTGCTTTAATAAGTTACTGTGTCCACTGTTCTGAGTACTTACGGTATCTTGCTTAACAAAATCTTAAATGTATTTGCTCTCCGCTGGCAAAGGCAATCTCCCCTAATGGGAATGTTTAGGTGGTAGTGTGCTAAATTCAGTAATGAGTAATGAAATCAATGAGCTGTCCAGTGACAAAATTACCTTGCGGAGTAAAAAGACTACAAAAAAGCAAAGCTTTAAGAGCGGTCTGCTGGAAGGAAATGGTTGGCATGATAGGCAACTGTTTTTTTTGCTGCAGATGGTTGCTTGTTTTATTCCTACACTGTGAGGTCTCTGTAGCTTACTAAAGGCTTCTGGGCAATCATTGCAGAGGACCTCTGGCCAGCAGCTGAGGCTGGCAAGTCATGTGGTGGTGTTGTCAGAGATGCTGCTCTACAGGAGCAGTGGCTGAAAAAAAAAAGAGTGGAGGAACTTGGCTTTTGCAGTGATGCTTTTTTGTTTTGGTTTTTTTTTTTTCTTTTTTCATGACTAGGAAAGGACCAGTGGTTCTAGTTGTAACCCTGCCAAGTCCAGGGGTCAGGGAGGAATTGGTGGAAATCTGTGCTTGCAGTTCAGAGTGAAAACTGTGAAAGCTTTTGTAGCTTTTATGATATTGCCCTGGCATAACTCTGTATAGGATCTGCAACAGAGGCCAAGTCCACTTTGGCAGCAATTTCAACATCTGATAAATGTCGAAGAATGTAATATGGACTGCTGACAAGCTGCCCCTGCTTATAGCTCTCATTTTGGAGGCCAGGACTGGGGCTGTATTGCTTCTATAGCTTTGAGTGTTGGCCTAAATGTCTGCTTTTTTAGCAGCACTGGTTCTTCCTTGGGGGAAGCTCCTTCCTTTGGAGCAACAAAACTTGACAAGTGACTGAGATATCTGCAAACAAATGATGTCTTTCTGGTGGTGTGGGCTCATTTAGATGACCCAGGCTGGGTCTTGGCTCAATGTTTTTGCTAGGTTTGGAATGGTATTTTAGTAACTATCTCCAGAAGCTGGTGTATTGGAATGCAGTGGAATTACACCCCAAAATTAATAGTACTGTACATTGGAAGGACTAGAGAAGAGAGGGCTTCGAGGTGACCTCATTGCGGCCTTCCAATACTTGAAGGGGGCCTGTACGAAAGATGGGGACAGACTTTTTAGCAGGGTCTGCTGTGACAGGACAAGGGGTAATGGTTTTAAACTAAAAGAGGGTAGATTTAGACTAGACATAAGGAAAAAATTTTTCACAATGAGGGTGGTGAAGCACTGGAACAGGTTGCCCAGAGAGGTGGTGGAAGCCCCATCCCTGGAGGCATTCAAGGTCAGGCTGGATGGGGCTCTGAGCAACCTTATCTAGTTGGAGATGTCCCTGCTCACCGCAGGGGGGTTGGACTAGATGACCTCTAAAGGTCCATTCCAGCCCAAATGGTTCTATGATTCTATGACTGGGGAAGTCCATGCATTTGACACCAGTTAGCCAAGAGAATTCCTGAGTTGTGCGTCCTACTTGTGACTTCCTACGTCACGTGGCCTAGATCTAAACTTTGCTCTTTCCTCTGTTCTCACAATGTGATTGCAGAATCTGCTGTGCGAGCTGGCACTTGTTGTAGGAGGGTCCCCCACCCTCCCCCAGACGGGCTGTTGATCGCCCAAAGGGCAGTTTGAAATGAGCTTTGTTTTTCACAAACTTGACTTTGGCCCAGGATTTTTTCATGATCTTGGTTGACTCATATATGTGGCCTTCCATGGAGGCATTTCCTCTCAGAGGAAGCGAGAAGACAATGAAGAAATGGGGTTACTCATGATAGCTGGAGCCTCCCACAAATTCCCCTGTGTTTTCTTCCCTTGTTGCACTGTTTATTGCTACAGTTCCTTCTAATACAAAAATTACTTGAGCTCTGGAGGTGTGATGATGAGGAGAAGGGAGTACTTAATCCAAGTGCTTAGTTCTGGAGTCACTAGGAAGAGCTGGCCTGCTGCCAGGTGGTTACTCATGGGGTGGGGGAAATGGGAGGAGAAGTTGTCCCATGACCGGGGTACAGTATACCAAGGTAGTATGTCTGTGTGCTTTGGGTGTTGTCAAGGCTGGTCAGAGTTGGTGTGTTATAGCAGTGAGACCGTTTTTAATAACTGCAGCAACAGCTGGTGCATGACACCGGCCATAGATAAATCTAAATAAATATTGATGCTTTTAGCGGTTCCTCACTAATGGTTCCCCAGAGCTTGTTTTTTGTTCCAAGAAAATTGTATTTTAAGATGTATTATTATTAGACAGGTGTTTTTCAAATACCTGTCTATGCATATTTGATGTGTGCAAACATGTATTTTTGTCTACTGACGTTGATGCAGGCAGGTAATTTCACATTAAAGTTGGTGGTTCTTATTTGCATTAGGAAACAAAAAGGTAAGGTGCAATAGATCTGTTTTGTGGGCTGGAGGGATTTTGGTTCTTTGTTCTATACATTCAAAATCTTAGTGTATTTTTTTTTTTTTTTTAAAATCAGTATACATTTATTTGAAAGCAAAGTTTAAGACAATTGCGGTGTTAGGACAGAAGTCTTCTCTTCAGTCCTTTCCCACTGCTGTCTGAAACTACAGTACAAACTGGAGGCAAAAGGACAGTGGAGACTGTCCCATGACTTAAGTATAATTTGGCCTGTGACAGATGTAGGCTATACCTTTTCACTTTCCTGTGGTTCCTCTGGTATAAAAAATAAATCATAAGTTGAATTAATTTGCAATTCTCAAGTCATCAACAGATGTAATGTGTAATCTAGCTGTGTGAAAATTTTCAGCAATGTTCTCCATTATAGATACAACCTTTGACTTAACTTGGTGGGGGTTGTTGTGGGAGGGGGGAAAAAAAACTGCTGAAGCACATGCCTCTTGTTTTCTTCTTTGTAGTCCCCGGCTGATCAATCTCAGAAGATTCATGCTGGTGATGAAGTGATCCAGGTTAATCAGCAAACTGTGGTTAGTAACAAACAGCTTTACCAACCTTCCCTTATGCTTGCTCTGCAAAGCTCGCTCCCCACAGGTTCTGAACGGATGGGGTCAGGAGGCAGTTCCCGTGTTTTCCTGTTAAAATCTTTGAGACTTTTTAAGATTTTGTTTTCAAGACAAATTTTATTCTTTGCAATATTTTGATAAAATAAATATGCAATATTTAATGTTTAAATGCTGTACACATCATTAAAATACTTCATGTTCTATTTAAGGCCTGTTTAAAAATGCTTTGTCACAATCTACTGAAATGCAGATAAAATCAGCTTTAAAAACCCCAAGTATTTGTGAAATTGTTTGTGTCTGGGAACTTAGATAAAATTATTACACTTGTGCTTAGCACAGGTAAGCAGTGCCTTTCAGTGTGAGAAAGAAACATGACAAAAGTAGTTCACTGTGAGTCCTTGCGTTACTCAATTAGAGTGCATCCATGCATCCTGCTAGGACTGGAGCTGAGGTATAAAGAACATTGCTTGATATCTCAGTGCTTAATTTACAGCTTAAGTAGAGATCTTTCTTTGAAACAAAAGAAGAACCTTCCAGAAAAGGAGCTTTCCAATTTTTTTAGTTGATTCTGGCTTTTTTGGATCTCTTTTCTCTCTTTAGGTTCATTTAGACAGTCTGACGTGGGAGATTTGGGTTTTCCTTATTTGTTCATGCTCTGGTTTTGACTGGGATGGAATTCATTTTCTTCCTAGTAGCTGGTATAATGTTACGTTTTTGGATTTAGTATGAGAATAGTGTTGATAACACACTGATGTTTTTAGCTGTTGCTAAGTAGTGTTTATACTAAGTCAAGGATTTTTCAGTTTCTCATGCCCAGCCAACAAGGCTGGAAGGGCAAAAGAAGTTGGGAGGGGACATAGGCAGGACAGCTGACCCAAACTGGCCAAAGGGATATTCCATACCATATGATGTCATGCCCAGTATATAAACTGGGGGGAGTTGGCCGGGAGGGGTGGATCGCTGCTCGGGAACTAACTGGGCATCGGTCGGTGACTGATGAGCAATTGTATTGTGCGTTACTTGTTTTGTATATTCTAATTCTTTTATTATTATTATTTTCATGTTATTATTATCATAATCATTATTATTTTCTTCCTTTCTGACCTATTAAACTGTCTTTATCTCAACTCACGAGTTTTGCCCTTTTTTTCCAATTCCCTCCCCCATCCCACTAGGTGGAAGGGAGTGAGCGAGCAGCTGTGTGTTGCTTATTGCCGGCTGGGGTTAAACCATGACAGTTTACTTTCAGTGAAGCAATACTAAATAAAAGCTGTCTTTATTCTCCTCCAGGTTGGATGGCAACTAAAAAATCTGGTGGCAAAGTTGCGAGAGAATCCTGCTGGAGTTAGGCTGCTGCTTAAGAAACGTCCTACTGGCTCTTTCCATTTCACTCCCGCTCCACTAAAGAACCTGCGCTGGAAACCGCCCTTGGTGCAGGTGAGAGGCTGCCGGCTCAACTCTAACATCGAGATGGAAATGCCTTGGTTGCAACTTCAAAAAGAGAAATATCAGAAATGCTCCCAGGTACTCATGTTTATGTCTAGATCAAGGAAGGTTAGGTGAAATGGCTGTTCTCTGGTTCCTAGATAAAAGGGAAAGGGTTCTTGCTTTTTTTTTTTCCCTTTGTTTTTCTTTTTTTAAACCCAGATAATGCCTTCTTGATACACAAAGGGACTAGGTGTGTTGGGCATTTTAATCAGTCTGTGTGCCACTGGGAGAACTTATCTGAGGCAAAACTGCTGAAACCACTGATATTTATGGAATCCATCAGCATGGAGTAATAAATGCTTCCTCTGTTTAGCAGAGTATTATGCTTTTTCCTGAAATAACTTAGATTTTTCCATATATTTGTCCTCTTTTTAGTCTGG